AAAAAAAGAGAGTAAAAAACCTTGAAAAAGTTGTAGGTTTTTTTGCTAATGCAATATGATAAGGATATGAATTAAAATAAGGAGAATTTTAACTAATTTTACTATGATGTGTTATTTATGAAACGTGAAAAAAATAACTAACAGGTGTTTGGTTAGCAAACCGCACTATTTACTATTAAATGACACTCTTATCATATCTCTCATCTATAATGTGTAAATAGAGAAAAAGTTAACTTTCTAGTTCGTTTACTCATTCTCCATTATGTCCTCAACTGCTTTAAGAGTGGACTGTATTCAAGAATATCAAAAACTATAATCGTAGAATATTTTATTAATTATTTTTCACTAATACGTCGCGTGCAGTAAATTTATGGAAAAAATACTGATACTAATACAGAAATTGTAATGCTTCTGTATGCTTCAGTATTGTGAATTTTAATGACTCGTTTGGTACATTACAATTCAATCGAATTACAACGAGAAATATTATCAATATTTTAATGTACATTCTATTATAAAAAAAACTTTGAGTGAGTTATAGTTGGAAATGCGAGTGCCGTTTTGACCGTTTATATTAAACGCATATTTTTTAGGCTAAAAGAAAATTTTTATTTCTAATCTGGACTTTCTCGTGTAAATACGCTTAAAACTCTAGGACTTTCAGTACTCGATATACTTTTGTTATCTCGATTAGCAAACCAGACCCATAGGGAAATTTTAGTATATAAAATGGCGTGTACACCCATGAACATCGTGAAATGATCTGTAATCGCACGTGAACATCGTAAAACGGTGTGTGACCACGCGTAAAAAAATATATTCCACTTGTGATAACGCGTGAACTGTTCACGGAAACTTTTCGCGTCATATTTTTCGCAAGTGGTCACTAGTGAAAGTCGTAAAACATGAAAAGAAATTCTCGCTTGTAAAATTATAGAAAGTTCACACGTGACCACGCACTTGATGTTACAACTGCACGATCCCAACGTCGTGAAACGTCAACAAAATTTCCTTAGGGGAGGAGCGTATGTCTGAGACAAAATATAAACGAAAGCCCTTATATTAGGAACAAAACTTTTCTTTTCGTTCCGCTTAGGAAATAGGCACCTAATATATACAATCAAAATAGCGCTCAGATTCTCGATCATAACTCACTCATTTAATCTTAAGTTCGATTTAAATAACTTTTCACGATTCAAAAGACGTCGTCTTAGTCAAAAGTATAAAACTATCTATCAAACTTTCACTTAGTCACCGTAATATAATAGACAAATGGTATGATTTGTTTTTTCCTTTCAAGTTAGGAACACTGATTCAATAGTTTTGTATATAATTTTGAACTAAACAAACTATTTTTAAGATGATTGTTCATTCAACACTTTTAGCAATAGCATTATTCGGAATATTTTTTTTTGATTTTGGTGTTGTAATTTTAAAGTTTGCATCCTATAATAAGAGACAAGATAGTTTAGTAGACACTTGATAATGGTAATGCGTATCTTGCTTCAAAAAATGGAAGTAATTATCAGATTATATCAGATTTGAAATCAAATAATAAACCAGATACTAAATTCGAATAATACAAAAAGTATCGACTAATGAAAGAATAATACAGTTAGCACAACTAGAGAGCCATCTAAAAGACTTTCGTAATTTTTTTGATAGATATGTACTTTTCAGATCAAAATGTATTTATTAGAGAATGTGGTAGAGACTACTGTATAACTCTTGTATAGACAATCATTCACTTTCAAAAATTGGGTGGACATTGGAACCATGCAATATCTATATTCAGAGGGTTAAAAGGCTATTGCAGTGGATCTATCAGATTTGTGCAAAAAGAGCTCGAACTAAATTCTCAGATTAATATTTATTATTCTTAGTGACAATATTAGCTTTTTGCCACTTATTCCAATTCTCATCTCGAAGAACTGTGGCCATGAACAAAGCTCAAGGTGCTACCTAGTCGAGAATCCTGTAAAAAAAGCCCATAAGAATCCCAGAGAATTGCGCCGAGACTACGTGGGTTTTCTAGAAAATTCCTACGCAGAAAGAAAATCTTGCGGGACATTTTTGCTCAAAAGATTCGCGACTAGAAGGTAGACGGGAGATCCAGTACATTAGATGGGTTTGTTCCCATCTCTCTAGTTCATACAGAAAAATACAACAGAATGGATTTTGAACATGTCTCTGTAGGTTTAGTAAAGTAGAATGTACATGTTCAACAAAATATAAACACTTTTGACTATTTTTTATAATGGTTGCATTGTTATGTTGACGTACGTATGCTGGGAAATTAGTGTTTTCAATGTATTCCAAGACGTGTTTGTCCGTCCATTGATAATATTTATGCAACGTTATTATCAACGATTTCTGAAATGAATGAAATTCCTGTTATTCTACTTCTCATTATCAAATTTTGAGTTACCTGATAAATGTTTAATTCTTAGATGTTTGGGTTATTCAAAACACTGTAGCTAAGCTCGAAATCTCAACCGAATCTCTGGATCTTTTTTCGTTTAACAAACTTTCTTTCTAACCTTTTTTACATATTTCACATTTTACTTCTATGAGTTGTTGTTCTTTTTTTTGCATTATTCAACTTTTTCTCGTTGATAACTTATGGTGTTTATGAGTTTTTTTTTTGAGCAAGCCGTTTGCATACTAAAAAATGAAGTTGTCTGATATATTTGTATTCCAAAAAGCGACGACAATTTGTGGTTCGATGAAAGGATAAGAGTAGCAGAAGCAGATTAGTCTGATCTAGTATTTCAGAGAATTTTAAACACATTAAACAAAATCCATATTTTTTACTCTGTTATAGGTCTGATGTTTTAATCCATGATCAAAAACTTCTGCTATTGAATCAAAGTATCATATCACAATTGCTTCACATTACTACATTTTATTTCTAATGTCTAACAAATACATATTTTCACACATTTTGAATGAAAAACTAGGAATGCACATATTAGCAAACGCAAATCTAATGAATACAGGAAAATCCACAATTAAACGAAATGAACTTTGTCTATATTTGATATACACAAAATCATTTATGTTTAAATAAGTCTTACTATACAGATGTACACAACTTGTTTAATTACATAATTGAGTTCTAAACAAAAAACATAAACCAAAGACACAAAACATGTTAACTAGAACGAAAAGAAATATAGACAAGAAATTTGTGCTTTGGGTTATTAAAATACAAATAAATAAAATAATTAAAAGTATGCGGTGCTATAATACAGGGGTATTGAAAAAAAATAAGGACAATAAGTAGAAGTAGGTTTAATGAAAAAGTTCTTCTCAGATAAATATCTTTGATTTATTTGTGTTTGACTAATTATTTTTGTCGGCCACGTCGTGCTCGATTATTTGAACTTTTGTCCAATTTCTTTTGCCGTTTCGATGGTGAACCTATATAAAAGAGCAAAGATAAATGTCAATAGTAGAAATAAAACAGTATAACAAAATAAATATTGAACTCAAGAAGCACCGTTATATGATTATCGCAAAAAGTGTAATCAGCAGAAAATCGGGAAAGCAGACAACTCTCAGCACAAAAATGGTGCTTCTTACATACCTTGTTCATCATTCTCTTCGTCTTCAACGTTTAACAATTTCTTCTTTCTTGAACGACCATTTGATGTTAATGCATTATCACTACTTTTATCTTGTTCAGTCGTTTCTTGTTGCTTCTTGGCACTTCTTGTTCTTGTTGTGATATGACTTTCCACCTTGTCTTCTTGTTTGGTTTTTGATTTGGCTGACGAATTCTTTAAAGCAACAACAGCCTTTTCTTCCTGGTTTTTATCCACACTCACACCCTCGCCTTTTTTTGTTTGTCTTGTCGTTCGAATTATGATGCTTGTTTTACTTTCAGCTGATGTATCATGAACAATTCGAGTTGATTTAGTCGAGCGTGTGAACTTTTTTGACTGTGCCCTTGATAGTGATGATGACACATCCTCTGAACCACAATCATTAGCATCCTGTTTTGACAATACTTTTCGACGATTCGGACTGAAACAAGTAGAACAGAAGGCGAATTATTCATGAGCACTACAAAACAGTAGACGACTACTTCGATAGACGAAGTGCATCTATCAACACTAAAATCGACTCAACAAGAGTAGACAGAAACGAGTACGTACGATATGTCAACTTCAGCCACCACTGCTGCTGATTTCGATGATTTACTACGTGTTTTTTTGGATGTTGAGCGATTATTTATCGGTTTATTCACGATGTCGACACCTATTTTTGAAATTATCTGTTCTTGTTTCGCCTTTTT